TAGGATTTGTAGAGCACCTAGTCTCACACATTTTGTAAAATTTTCAGCCTCACCGGACTTAATATAGCCGAGATATTAAGAAAACAAAATGAAAAAACGTTATTCCGTCACGCTTGGACTGGCCGTAGAGCTCAATTAATGAGACAAGTTACCGTCAAAATAGTCGGTACATCGGTATTTTTCATTCGCAACTTCTCGAGAAATATAACGAGAACATTGACATCATGAGTAAATAACAAATTATTGTATTTATCTCAATTCGTGTCAATATAGAATATATGTGTTGCAGTGTAAAGAATAGAAAAGCTTAACTCTTTTAGACAAACATTTATTTTGCTTATGAATGAACAGAGATCTAAGATTTTTCTTATGATTGTGAATTGTAATTTTTTATTTCAAGTGTTCAAATATTATTTTGGGTAAGCTGTAAGTATAGTAGCTGCAATATTGCTGTCAATCCGAAAGAGAGTAGACAGATCAGACTAATTCCTTTTTGGTTTTGGTTTGTTAAGTTGGATCCATACCTAACGGACAGAAATCACCAATCATATTTAAAAACCAGATTACACATCCTACTATGTAACTTTTTAAGAAAAGAAAAGTGTATTTTCGATACAGTATTAAAATGGGGAAATCAGAGATCACAACTGATAAAGTCATAAAATTAACTATATGTGCTAAAATCATGCTCTTAGTTCTCCTGCTAGGTAATAAACCATCTTACCCACTGATGTATTAGAAGGAGCTTGAATTAAAGAATAATCACAATCTCGAGAAGGAGTGATTAGCTGAGAAGCTAGAACATCTGTGTGTGATCATGAAAGAAACAATTGTTTTAATTCAACTAGAACTTTTGCAACAAACTCCTTTCCATTATCACTATGAAGCAACCGTGTGGACCAAAAGCAACTGTGAACTTTATAATTGAACTCTCTCTTCTCTGAATGTGAGAGAAGATAAAGAGAAGACAGTTAAGCTAAAAATAAAATAGTGCTACAACTTCGAATTACTGACGCCTTATTAATGGATAAATGATTAAAATTCATTCATATTTCCCTTCAGAAAGTGAGGAGTTGTTATGGTCTTGCAGTTATTTTGAAGTTCTGGCTAGCATTGATGAAGGTCATAATATTCGTACAAATTATATTTCAGCTTTGTTTTATGAAAAGAGAAAAGGTACTTTTTAAATGAAAATTATGTTTAACGTAGAATATTATAATTATCTTAATCAAACATTTTTTATATATACATTTAGATTACATATATCATATTGACTACAGTATTAATTGTTTATTCATATATTGAATGAGAATATTTGACAAACAAAGACGATTAAAAACCTAATTGAAATGAAATATAAGACTGATAAAACTTGCACAAGAATATACTTCATCGTTTTGAAAAGCTTTTTAATAGCCTTTGTTTGTCAAATATTCCCATTTAGTATTTGAAAAAACAATGAATAGTGTAGTCAATATGATATATGTAATCTAAATGTATGTATAAAAAATGTTTGATTAAGATAATCATAATATTCTACTTTAAGGCCACTCCCCTCTCAAAAGCGGATCTCGGCTTCCATATCACGAAATTGCATGACATTTTCAGGATATCTCGGTCGTGGTATAGGGATGCTATTCTAAAATTTTCGGACCAGTGTCATGACTATTTTCCAAGATATTCAAAAATTACGGGCAGAATAAAGCGTTTTTTCGAAACAAGAATTTTCGTAGAGGCTTCATCATAGACAATTATTATTTTTTTTGTTCGATAGAGGACTCCACCTCTGGGGTGTTACAGAGTTCTTTTTTAAATTTTTGGTTTTCTTGCAGGAGAGAGAGGGCTTCGAAGTTTAATACCTCCCAAAAACCCGTAGAAAACGCTAGCAGTTTTCCAGAGATCCTTTTTTAATAAAAAAAAGAAAGCCTAATTTGGAAAAATGGCTCTGTAACGCCCTAGAGCTGGATATGCTCTTTCAATCAAAAAAAAAATTCTCTAAACAAATCTGTGATGGCAAGAACATAACGATTTTCAGAAGGAGAACGATTTAACGGTCCTACGTAATCAATTGCAATGATTTGAAATGGTTCTTCTGGTGGTGATATTGGTTTCAAATACCCTGGTTTTTTTTGTCTTGATATGTTAAATTGTTGACATTTAGAACAAGATTTGATATATTTTTCAACAGAAGATTTCATATCTGGCCACCAGAATTGATGTTTTAATTTTGCTAGTGTACGATGAATAGCAAAATGACCAGAAAGCGGATCATTATGGGACGCTTCAAGTAAAAGTGGAATCATTGATGGTGGTATATATGGAACAGGTTTTTTACGTATAGAATATTTAGTCTGAACAAGCTTATACAAAATATCATCTTTGAGGACAAAATCGTTTTTATTTGGATCTTTCTTCAATTGCTCTATTTTTAATTTAATGTTAGAATCTTTATCTTGTTCGATTTTCAGCTGTTTGATATCAAATTTATTACAACTGAGTTTCTGGTCAGAGTTGAAATCGATCGAGTCTTGATCAAAAGTGGAATCACTTGTAAATCTTTCAGTAGTTTGTTCTTGTTGAGCTCTTCTTGTTTGCAATCTTGTTGTAACCGCTCCGGCCACTGGCATCTGTAAAGGCCGTGACCTACCACTAACAGAAATTATAGACGAAGAAGGTGGTGGTTTTACTTGAAGACCATAATCTGGATCAATAAGATCCGGATCATTGAATTCAATTGGATGACGAGGTAAATAGTCCGGTAGACAATTTTTCTTTCCTTGAATATGAATGATTTGAATAATGTTATACTCTTGCAATAAAATTGAGATTCTGCTGGCCAACGTATTACGGAGAGTTTTATTTTGCATTCCGCAAAGTGGACAATGATCAGTGTATATAATTATATCGCGTCCAAGTAAATATTGTCTCATTCGTTTAATTGATAAAACAATTGCAAGAGC